AGGCTCCGAGCTGTCAGCGCAGAGCCCAACATGGGGCTCCAACCCACAAACCGTGAGATCATGACCTGAGCTGAAGTCGGTTGACTTCAGTCGGTGACTGAGCAACCCAGGTGTCCCAATCCCATTTTTTCTTAAAAGCTTAATTTACAGGGTGCCTGCTTGGCTCAGTTAAGCCTCCCACTCTTGATTTCCGCTCAGGTCATGATCTGGTGGTTTTCTGAGTTAAAGCCCCGAATCGGACTCTGTGCAGGCAGCCCAGAGCCTGCTTGGGATTCTCTCTCCCTCTCCCTCTGCCCTTTCCCCACTCACGCTGTCTCTGTCTCTCTCAAAATAAAAAAAAACCTTTTTTTATTAAAATAAAACATTTTGGGCGCCTGGGTGGCGCAGTCGGTTAAGCGTCCGACTTCAGCCAGGTCACGATCTTGCGGTCCGTGAGTTCGAGCCCCGCATCAGGCTCTGGGCTGATGGCTCAGAGCCTGGAGCCTGTTTCCGATTCTCTGTCTCCCTCTCTCTCTGACCCTCCCCCGTTCATGCTCTGTCTCTCCCTGTCCCAAAAATAAATAAACGTTGAAAAAAAAAATTAAAAAAAATAAAACATTTTTAAAAAGTTTAATTTATGCTCTCTGCCATTTTAATCCTTTCAAATGCATCCTAGCCACAAGCATCTAAACAGTGTTGCTCTTTGCATTTCAGTTTTCATTTATAGGAAAGACTAATTTATAAGCGGCCACTTAACATTCTCCACTTGTCCCCAAAGGCACCTTAAACTAACGGTAGTAATCTCCAAACCTAATCTATTTCCTAGGTGCCGCAATTAAGTAATGGTAGTTATAGTCACCTGGTTTTTTCATACTAGACAAGTGGGCATTTTTCTTGACATCTCCTGCCTCATTTCCACTGTCCTGTTCATGATAGTGTTCATTTCATATCCTATCATATGGTAAAAGGTGATGTGAAATGTTGGGGTCCAGGAGCAAATGGTCAAGAAAGAACTGAGACTTCTCCAGCGCAAAAAAGTGGTTGTATTGAAGCACAGGATCCTGGGCAGAAAGAGCTGCACTGCAGTTGTGAGGAATGGCTGATAATAGACTTTCAGGTTGGTAGGGGGTCAGGTATAGTGTAACTCTCAAAGGAATTTGGAAGCAAGTTTTCCAGCACCTTGAGAGGCAAGCTGTTGTTAGGAAAAGGTCATTTACAATGGTCTATAAAACCTTAGTCATGAGACTCTTCAGATGTGTACCAGTGCGCCCTATGCTTGGAGGATAATTGCTAACATGTATCTTGGGAGGTGGGGGTGGGGATGGGTAGAGAGTTTCCAAAGGGATTTTCCAAAGGATCTTTGATCCAAAGGGTCAGGTTACTGTCAAGCTAAGGTTGCCTTTTGCCTTTAGCAAAGTACTAACACTGAGACAGCTAAGCTCCTTGAGGAAGGTTACTGTCTTCCTCAAGTACTTGTCACTACGGTGTAAGTGATAAGGAAGTTTAATTTTTTCCCCCTTTGTTCTCCACATTAATAGGCATTTTGCTAAGTGCTAGGATTTAACTTTTTTTAGTCTTGGGAGGGTGCACTTATTCCAGTGATGCTATTATCATATTTTGAGAACTTTAAGAAATACTTTCAGTCTCCTAGTCACAATTTATTATTCACCTTATTCAGACTTTTTCTCTAAATGATTTTAAATTATGGTTTAAAGTATCAAATCAAGGATTGAGAATGATCACCTTGGACAATGACTGTACTACAGATCCTGAGGAGGACTTCAGAAAAGGAGTTTTAACTTCTTAAGGTGGTTAGAAATAGTACTTGTTAGGGTATCTAGATTGTGGTATACTTGTTTAAAATACTATTTTCTTTAGCCATACCTAATGTAACAAATTACAGATTTTCAAAATACAGGTAGTATTCTAAGATACAATAAAGGAAAGTTACTCAGAGGGTAATTTAAAAATTTTTGGTATAACTTAGAAGGTGCTCTGGAATTTTAGTGTTTGAATCATCTTTCAATAGTATTTATGATTCTAGATTACAGATGTAGAATAGGATTTAGAGACTGGACTGTGTATACATTATTTCATACCCAAAAGCTTTATCTTTAAACTCCAGTGACTTCCTCATGTACTTCCCTTTTATATCCCCCTCTCATTAAATGCTGCACTATATTCAGTTTGTGATTTATCATTGTTTGGATTTCAGAATAAGTAGGGATTTACTACATTTAGGTTTACCTAAGTTAAAGAGAAGTAAGGTAATTTGAAAAGTCATTTTTCTGTGTGGGTAAACCATTTGCATACTTCAAATTTTTTTGTTTTGCTGGAAGCCGAGCTGTCCCAGCCTGAGTGGCAGGGCCCGAGCTGTGGATGGATTGGTGACTGCAGGGCGGCCGCTGACAGGGAAGCTTCTTGTGCTCCCGCTTTTAGGTAATTTGGCCTTAAAACTACCTGGGGTGTTGTCAGTTGGGGAATTGCCCTTGACAGGCCCTCTGGGAAAAGAACCAGTAGGAAAGAAAGTAAGGTTCCGCAAGAAACTGTGCGGCCTTACATTTAGCCCTTGCCATTCCCCATGGAGACTCCTCTACTTATAGGCCTCGTACCTTTGCCAGCAAAGAGGGCCTGTATAGGAGAGACATATGGATTTGAAAGCCCCACTCTGGCAACTAAGGAGTGTATCTATGGACACAGGTCACTCTAATCCCTAGGCCCACTTGGCCCCCAGGAGGCATTCCAGATGATGACTGAACCTAGTCGGTTAAAGTACAGAATGGTTCATTGATTCCTAGGTGCACTGTCTCTCTGAGAATGTATAAGGCGTGGGTTTCTAAGGCCCTCTTGGCCCTCTTCCTGGCACCTCGGACCCAGGCGAACACTTTTGTTCTTCAAAACCACGAATGCTTCAGGGAAACAACTAACAGGTTGTGTCCCTCTAACTGTTCCACTTGAGGTGTTGAGAGATAAATGACCTTTCATGAAAACAGCAAAGCAAATACTTTATAGATTACAGATAAACGTAGTTACATAATGAAAACAATGAAAGAAATTAATAAGCAAAGGGCAGGAGGGAACGTTATGAGAAAACAATCATGTTATTCCTTATTGGGTGATGATACATAGAAACATTTTCAAAATTAGGTAATGTTAGAAAAACAGATGATGTATGCTACAAGGAAATCACTAGCATATATAATGCCACGCTTGGTACAATAAATTGGTCAGTTCAACACACTGCTGTTGTCTGTGTCCATTTTTATTTTAGTTTTAGTTTTTTATTTTCCAGTTTTTTATTTTAGTTTTATTTTCACCGACGCTGTTCTTCCTTCGGGAACCCCTGGTTGCTGGAGCTGGTCTCTGGCAGTGTTTGGAAACTATTAACTTACTATAACCAATAAAGGGCAAAACCTGAATATAGTGAAAATTGTCTTTACTTTTATTGCCTTTTATTTTCAACAATGATTACTTGAACTTAAAAAAAAAAAAAAAGCCTTTATTAACTAATGGTTATTGAAAAGCCAAACCTTTCCAGCCCACTTCATATTATCTTTCAACCATTTCAGGGCAGAACAATGTTCCAAACTATAAACCTGTTCCTTATTAACATTGACGGTCATGTGCTTAATGAAGAGCTTTGGGTCCGATATACGAGCAGCCATAATTAGTCTTTCCACTGCAGCTTGATAATCATCCTTACTCCGAGATTTGTCTTCTTCACATCTACAAAGTGAACACCTCCCGAAGTCAGAAACTGTTAAAAAGGAGTTCTATCGTTTCTCCAAAAGACAGTACTTTGCATTTCCTGGTACTAAGCTATAAGAATCTTTTTACTATATTCTTCTAATAGTGCCTTTCAAACTTGTTTGAACATAACACACAGCAAGAAACACACTTTATATTGTGACCCGGTGTATACCCTCCACATCAAAATGGAAATAAGAGTTTCACAAAACAAGACTTACCCTTATGACAATGTACTCTATTTTCTACTCTCTTTTAGTTTTGTAATAATGTTGTAATCCCCTGAACTGATTTCACCAACCAAATAGGCTACAACCCACAGTTTGAAAAACACTAATCTAGAACACAGATAATAACCTCTTTGTATTTTGAAAATTGATAACTGCGTAACTATTTATTGTAATATGTACAAAAACATTGAGTTTAATCAAGTTTGGAGTTACTAATGGTCATATGTTTTACCTTGATATTAGCCATTTTTAATTATAAGCATATATGTAATAGGTAGCTAACATTTGGAACTGTCGCTGTGTACCTTTACTAAATTTCCAGTTATTTTATTTAGTCTTGATTTAAGATTCTTCACTAAGTGCTCAGACTTACTTTTCTAATAACTCTTTACCAGTATCCAACTTTCATAAAATTCATACCTTATGGCTGTTTATCATTAAGGGATAGGGAATGGGAAGTACATACATTTTTTAATGTTTACTTATTTTTGAGGGTGGGGAGAGCAGAGACAGAGGAAGTCACAGAATCCAAAGCAGGCTTTAGGCTCTGTCAGCACAGAGCCCTATGCTGGGCTTGAACTCATGAACTGAGAGATCATGCCCTGAGCTGAAGTCAGAAGCTTAAGCAACTGAACCACCCAAGCGTCCCTGGAGTGGGAAGTATTTAAAATAGAGATGTGGCTGTTACATTAGGCATCAGTTGTTCTTTATGTTCACTGTATCCTGCTCTTGGCACCTGTAGGACCCAACAGCAAGGTCCAAGAGTGAGCCTACCCACATCAGTACCTTAGTATGGTGCAGAGTGGTGGGAGTGAGGACTTCAACTTAGAACAGAAACTTGTCACAGAGAGGAAAGATTGGTCAGGTACCTTCTACTACATTCTGGCTTAGAAACTGGTGCCTGGGATCTGGTAGACTGGGCATATGCCAACTATGTGCAGTTTCTGAAAGTCTAAAGATGCATAGATTCTCTCAGAGAGAGGTTAGTATAGCAAGGCAAGGCTCAGTATGATGATGACGATAATAAGAGAAATAGTATTGGTTAGGACAAAATTAAAGATCTAGGCATGTCACTAATTTGCACTGAGGTCACAAATAGCAACCAAGTTCAACAATGAATAAAGAGGCTGCATATGTGTGGGGAGTCCTGAGAAAACCAAACCCTCATTAGGAAGATGGGGAGCCAAGACTCCTCATGCCACTTATAGTGCATAGTAGTTAACAAGGAGGCCCTCAGAAAAGACCTATATCAATAAAGCTAATTTAGTGAGTTTTTAAAAAATTGTCGACCTAAAATAAATTATTTCATAATTCTCCTCCCTTTAAGTATGGGCTATATTAAATGACTCGTTTATCACATATAGGATAAGGGTGCCTGCCTGGCTCAGCTGGGGTTGTGAGTTGGAGCCCCACACTGGGTGTAGCGATTATTTAAAAAATAAAACCTTAAATGACTTGCTTATCACATATGGAACAAAGCAGAAATGACTGTGTAACTCTGGACACTAGGTTATCAGATGACAATTCTTCCTGGGTCCCTGAATTTCTGGAAGTTTTGAGGACAGAGACAGTAACTACCTCTTGTTCTGAATTTCAAGCATGTTTATATAGTGAACAACCTTGAAAGACAGATAGGTCCTCCCTCTGGAGCAAACGATAGGTTTGCTTACAGCCTTACAAGATAGTGATGGTGTTTCCCTGCAGAGCAACAGGGCAGGCATGCTTATCATTTATAGTAAGAGACTTAGGTTCCCCAAAGTTCAAGATTCCTCTTCTGTAAGAGGGCCCGGTACCTGTGCAGGTATCCACCAGGGCCCCTCTGTGGGACTTGGGAGCAAAACCAGAGACACAGATATGCATATAATCATACTGCTTGCTGTACATAAGTAATAACATCCTCTGTCTCTAGTGCAAGCAAGAGTCTTACGTCTTATGCTAGGATCCAGGACACTGTCAGCCTGCAATTAGGGTAAAATTCAGAGCCTTCCCAGTTCTTGATATAGCTCATGAAAGGCACTGTAGCTTCCTCCTTGTCTTTTTTCTCTTGATTCACTCACTCAGAGTGTCATAAAGACACTCAAGGAATGTATGGAAGGACTCATGTGGCAAGCAACTGAGGATTCCTGGCAACAGGCACGTGAGTGAGCCATCTAAGAAACAGATCCTCCAGTCCCAGTCAAGCCATCAGGTAGGTGACTTTACCTCCTGACCAACTACCTCAGAGACTCTGAACCATAACCATACTGCTAAGCTACTCCAAAATTCCTGACCCACAAAAACTAACATAATATTTGCTGTTTTAAGCCACTACATTTTGGGATAATTTATACACAGTGATAGATAGATAGACAGATAGATAGATAGATAGATAGATAGATAGAAAGAATATCCAATCTGATGATGTGGTTTATGATACCATTAAACTGAAGCAAAATTCTTGTCAAGAAACCCTCAAAACAGGAGTTCCATGAGATCTTTATTAGTTTCCTGGATAGGCTAACAAGAAATTGGGAGTGGTGTAAGTCTAAATTCTGGGACTTTGAAAAAATTATTTAAAGAGATACCAGTCTGGTCCAACAGCTAAATTGTATGCATTTGTAACATTTTAAATATAGACACTAGGCTGATGGCTTTATTTTCAACAGAATTCTTAAAAAAAATTTTTTTTTAATTTTATATTTGAGAGACAGAGAGAGAGACAGAGTGTGAGTTGGGGAGGGGCAGAGAGAGAGGGAGACACAGAATCTGAAGCAGACTTCAGGCTCCGAGCTGTCAGTGTAGAACCTGATGCAGGGCTCGAACTCACGGACTGTGAGATCATGACCTGAGCCAAAGTCAGATGCTTAACTGACTGAGCCACCCAAGCGCCCCTCAACAGAATTCTTGACTGAACCAAATTCTTGACTGAACCAAAAAACTATCACATATTTTCCTTTTAGACCTGGTTCTTAGATCTTCTGTGTTGACCAAAAAGGTAAATAACTTAGATATCTATCTCAAAACCATCAGTGCACAAGAAAGATGCATACCTAAAGAAGGCCCATCTCTTTGAACAGCATCTTTGGAGTTGTTAATGTGTTTATTAAATGCTATCAGCTTGTTCGTTTTAAGTCTCAGGTCAAATCCTTGCTCAATTTAAATGTTACCAAAATTTGTAAATGCATACAAACACAAGTATATACATATATATGAATATGTATGTGTACACACACACACACACACATATGTGTAGAAATGTGTTTGTGTATATATGAAAATATTTATGCATAAATATATATAAAATATATATTACAAAATATAAAGTAGAGATAAACATTTACATCCTAGGGCAGGTGTAATGATCTGCTTTTAGCATGCAATTAGAAGTTATATCAACCAACCTTTTCAAAACTATCTGCAGCATCTGTGTAGAAGTTCCAGGACTCTGAATACTACTAGCATTAGATACCAGGAAGATTTCAATAGCTAAAAGCATTTCAATCTCAGATAAATAAGAAGGAATCAGTAGAAGTTTTCGGTATAAATTTCCCTCCAATGGTGGATAGCAACCCAATGAAAGAGCACCTGGAAATCAAATAACAGATCAAACTTTATTAAACCCCAACAAGTGAAAAACTAGATTTCCAAAATATCCACAGGTGATAATTACTTACATCATAGAATGACTCTTCACATTAGTAGGTTTATTATACAAATTATATGGTGGTGAGCTTATCCTAATACATGGGAAATTATTCTTTGTAAAATACTTTTGAAACATTAAATATGAAGTAAAAATATATATTTAAAAAACTCTCCTAAAAATGACTTTTGAGCCTCATCGTGGTAAGTGACCATTTATTTCAAGCCATAGTCAATCAATACAACATAATTATAGAATAACTAAAAAACCAGAATAGCGACTTGGGTTTTATTTTAATGGGATCTGGTCTAATAGCAGCTACACAGATTTGTAATTATTGCCTATCTTGAATTATGAATCCAAAATGTAGAAAAAAAGAAATTATAATTTGAAGATTTTGTCATATATATTATACTATTTTTTAGCACTTATTTATACTGCTGTTATAGTTTGTATAATAAACATTTACTGTTCTAACCACAAGAGACTCTTAACAATAAGAGAACAAACTGAGGGATAATGGAGGGAGGTGAGTGGGTGATGAGCATTAAGGAGAGCACTTGTTGGGATGAGCACTGGGTGTTGTATGTAAGTGACGAATCACTAAATTCTACTCCTGAAACCAATACTGCATTGTATGTTAACTAAAATTTAAATTAAAATAAATACATAAAATAAAAATGGAAAAAACACATGTACTGTTCCTACTCTATGTGTGGCATTGAGCTAAGCACTATTTAGATATGAAACTAAAATACATATCTTAAAATATGTATCTTTCCTGTAGATGGTCAATGTGTTGTAGCTATACTCACCAAGTAATGTTCTAAAAATTTTACTTTTCAAGAAAAGAGATTTAACTTTTAAACTGTTTAGGTGCTTATTACAAATGATCTATACGGAAAACCCCTGAAGTCTTGGGGTATCCAAACTGTATATAAACAATATTATACTGTCATATTTCACTGAAACCAATTTAAATCTGTATGTAAAATTTGTTTAAAATGTTGTGTTAAGATAAGTTTCTTTAGGGGCACCTGGGTGGCTCAGTTGATTAAGCGTCCAACTTTGGCTCAAGTCATGATCTCAAGGTTCGGGCTTTTGAGCCCGCACCAGGCTCTGTGCTGACAGCTCAGGGCCTGGATCCTGCTTCGGATTCTGGGTCTCCCTCTCTCTGTGCCCCTTCCCCAGTCACACTGGAGGTCTCTCTCTCTCTCTCTCTCTCTCTCTCTCTCTCTCTGTGTGTGTGTCTCTGTCTCAAAAATGAGTAAATACTTAAAAAAAAAAAAAAGTAAGTTTCTTCAAGAAATCTAATGTGGATGATGACTGCTAATCTTTGGGGGCCTACTATGTGCCAGGTACCTGTGTTAAACATAAACACGTAAGTTTTCCCTCAATTTAACTGACAGTACTACCTTTGAAATCAGGTATACTGACTCCTACATTAGGTGAAGGGCTCTGGCAATCACCCCAGCCTCTGACTCCAGATCTCGGATTCCTAACTACTAGGTAGTTCCACTCCCTAGGTCGCTTGCAGGATTAACATACTATTGACTCATTAACTTTCTGACTATTGATAGGTATAATTTACATACATTCTTGTTTTACTTTGCTGACCGGAAGAGGAAAACAAAAAATAACAAACTGAGTAGAAATTTACCAACATTATTTTTCCTCTAAAAGCAAGTATGAAAAGAAAAATATTCCTATTCAGTTTTAGGGGAGGGAAACATACTGGAAAGACGCACTAACATCTCCCCTTCCTGACTTTTTGGCTGAGAGAAAATCAGTATTTTTAGGACTAGGGAGAACAAATCGGGAGCATCAGGAAGGCAATTTTACTGTCCCTGGACAGTTTCTTTATGATTAGTTTGAAAATAAAAGCAGAGCCAAGCCATTAAGAAAGTGAAAGACAACTGACAGACTGGAAAAAAAATATATTTGAAATTCATGTATCTGACATGGGACTTGCATCCAGTGTGTGTGTGTGTGTGTGTGTGTGTGTGTGTGTGTGTTGTGTGTTGTGTGTGTGTATATGTACATATATGTATATATATGTATATTATGTGCATGTATTCTTACAACTCAATAAAAAAAACAATTAAAAAATGTGCAAAGAAAAAAATGGGTAAAGTGTTTAACAGACATTTATCCAGAGAAAATACACAAATGGCTAATAAGTACTTGAAAAAGTCACTAGGATCATGCAAATCAAAACCACAATGAGATACCACTTTATATCCACAGGAAGTCTAAAATAAAAAACACAGTGTAACAAGTGTTGGTGAGGATGTGAGGAAACTGGAAATCTCAAATTTGGGTAGTGGGTATATAAATACAAAATGATACTGCATCTTTGGAAAAGCAGATTTGGCAGTTTCCTAAAATGCTAAAAACAGATTTATATGAGCCAGCCACTTTGATCCCAAGAGAAATAAAAATGTATGTCCACACAAAAACTTGTATGTGATACAGCAGTGTTATTCATAATAACTAAAAACTAGAAACAACTCAAATGTCCATCAAAGGATGGATGGATAATTCCATACAACGGAATATTATTCGGCAATAAAAAGGAATGAAGTATTGATACAGGATGAGTACTATAACAGGATGAGCCTTGAAAATATTACACTAATTACACGAAGCTAGTCATAAAAAACTACATATTGAAGGATTTCATTTATGTGAAATGCCCCAAATATGCAAATCTACAGAAATAGAGTCAATTAGTTGTTGTCTGGTCAGCAGGAGGCATCCAGGGAATGCTAATGTGTTTCCTTTTTGGAGGTGCTGAAGATGTTCTAAAATTAGATTGTGGTGTTGGCTACACAATTCTGTGAATATAATAAACACTAATGCATTGCCTAAATGGCTGAAATTTATGGTGTGTGAAATTATTTCAGTAAAGCTATACAAAATATTTTTTAAAAAAGCAAAACAAAGGCATTGGCACCACAGTCTTAACAAGTGCCTCGATGAAAAAGCCATCAGCCTAAAATCCAGTACTACTGGACCAATTATAACGCTTTTCTAGAATGTTAACTATGTGTGAAGATAAACCTAGAGAGTTCCAATGATATCTGAAATGTCAGCATTGTCAGGTAATAAGATGTTTTTGAAGACTGATTGGTGAATATACATTACTCTTTTCATTTTATAACTCAGGCACATTAAAAATACCAAAAATACTCTTAGCCCTTTACCTAACCTGCATAAGTCCCAGTAGTTCACTGCATATGAAATTAGGCATAGATGTATTTAAATTATTATTATCATTTTTAATTTGAGACAGAGAGAGAGAGCATGAGTTGGGGAGACAGACACAGGGAGGGAGGGAGGGAGGGGGGGAGGGAGAGAGAGGGAGAGAGGGAGGGAGGGAGGGAGG